CTGTGCCCTGACCGGGAGTGGAATGGTGACCTCCTGGTTCACAGGTGAGACACTCACCACGGAGCCACGCTGGCCTCACGTTTAAAACATCCCACCCTCCCTCCGGAGAATTAAAAGCATCCACCTCCGATGACTCTGAGGTCCTGACCTGACTCAGCCCGGGCGGAGGCTGGTGGTGTGTGGGTGGCAGCTCCTGTTTCTAAACCAACAACAAGGTTCAAGTTTAAAGTCTGAGGCCCTGACCGGTGTGGTTCAGTGGATGGAGCGTCGGCTGGCCTGCGGACTGAAAGGTCCCGGGATCGGTGTTTCCCATGGATGTTTCTAACTCTCTCTCCCTCTCCCTTCCTCTCTGTAAAAAAAAATATATATAAAAATATATATATTTTTAAGAAATGGTTCCTGAGGATGGTCCCGTCGGTTGGCTCTGCGCTGGCACGATTGCTTTAAAAGGCGCCAGGAAGGCGGGGGCGGGCGGCTGTTCGTGAGGCAGACGCTCCAGCGCCAGCAGGAAGGAGGGGAGCAGGGGGTGGGGTGTGTGTTTGGTGTTCTTCCCCCGCGGCAGCTGGCTCCCTGGCTCCCTTTTAAGGTGGCATCGCCGATGAGCCGGGACAGAACCAGGCCAGCCTTTCCACACACCACCACCACCCCCCCGGGCCCCGGCCGCCCGCCAGTGTCCTCGGACGCCCCCGGACGTGGGGGCCGGTGCCATACGAGGCTGTGGTGTCCCCTTCCCGCCACTGAGCCCTCTGCGGGGGGAGGCGGCTCCGCAGACACGGGCATAGGCCCATCTGCCCTCCACCCCACCCCGCCCCACCCCGCAGCCCAGCACCCAGGCCTTTGTGAGCTCAGCACGTCGTGTGCCGGGGTGGGGAGTTGGGGGGGTGATGGGTGAGGCTTGGGGGGGGGGGGACTCGCCAATCGGGCCCTGTTGCCGGGCCGCTGTCACGCTGTCATTGGCGGCGGCTCTGAGCCGTGGCCGCCCCCGGCCGACCACAAAGAACGGATCCGGGGAGGAAGGACTGGAAATGGATGGCGTGACTCACCGGCCTCTGGCACCGTCCAGCACCCTGCATTCTAGGTCAGGGGGCGTGGGCTCGGGAGCCAGGGACCTGAGCCCCGATTCCCGGAGCACAGTGCCGTGCAGGCTTTCCAGGGGACCGCCCCCCAAAATAAAAAAAACCCTCTGGAGACCGGCCGAACCTGGGCATTGCTGACCTGGGGGCCGGGGGGCCGGCGGGGGGGGGGGCTGTCCACTGTAGGGTGTGCAGGAGCACCCCAGGCCGCCCCCCAGTTGTGACGGCCCAAGTAGTGTCTCCCGCGGTGCCAGGTGCCAGACAGCCAGCAGCCACTGTCCTTGGGAAAGGTCGTCCTCCCCCTCCCCCTCCTCCCCCTTCCCCTCCTCCCCCCTCCCCCTCCCCCTCCCCCTCCTCCTCCTCCTCCTTTTTTGTCGAGTGTTACAGAGAGGGAGGGAGAGGGAGAGGGCGTTAGGAACACCCGCCTGCCTCTTGTTTTTTCAGTGACTTTGTTGTCTCATGTATTACGTAAGTCTCCTTTCCCCCCCTGACCTCCACCCCTCCTCCCTCCCTGCTGGACTTCAGTCAGGGACGCGGGGCGGTTCAGAACTTGTTTTTTCCTGCTGGAGGCGGCCTGGCCTTCTCCCCGGCTCACCCCGGCCCCGCCCGGCCCGAGCCTGTCTCCTTCCTCCTCTCCCGCCTCCCTCCCCCCTTCCTCCCTGCCCCCCGCACCCCCCTGCACACCTTTGGACTCTGCCAAGCGTTGTCAGGACCAAGAAGCTCCTGACTCAGCCGTGACACATCCTCCGTCGCTGGCTCCTGCAGAACAACACCCGCACAGCACCCACAGCACCCACGGCACCCACGGCACCCACAGCACCCACAGCACCCACGGCACACACAGCACCCACAGCACCCACAGCACCCACAGCACCCACGGCACCCACAGCACACACAGCACCCACAGCACCCACAGCACCCGGGCCGACCCGCAGGGAGCCGCCCTGTGCTCCCCTCAAACCCTGACCTTCGGCCTCAAGTCCAGAGACATGACCCGCACAGAGCCTGTGTGTTTGTTCCCTTCGAACCTCTTCCCAGAAAATTATTCAATAGAAAGACGTCATCTTTTTTTATTATTTACTTACCTACATGAGTATTCTTTTTTAATTTAAGTTCTTTATTGCTTAAAGTGTTACGTGAGTCCCCCTTTGCCCCTCATTGACCTCTCTCTCCAGCTGCTCCCAACCCCCAGCTGCTCCCACCCCCCAGCTGCTCCCACCCCCCACTACATGCCCTCACCCCCCTATGGTCTGTGTCCATTGGTTAAGAAATGACCTTGACATCCCTGGCTGGTGTGGCTCAGTGGATAGAGCCTCGGCCTGTGGACTGAAGGGTCCCAGGTTTGATTCCAGCCAGGGGCACATGCCCAGGTTTCGGGCTCATTTCCCAGTCTGGGGGAGTGGCAGGAGGCAGCCAATCAATGATTCTCTCTCATCATTGATGTTTCTATCTCTCTCTCCCCTCTCCCATCGGCTCTGAAATCAATAAAGAAATACATTTAAAAAAAAAAAATGCTGAAACCGGTTTGGCTCAGTGGTAGAGCATCGGTCTGCGGTCCCGGGTTCGATTCCGGTCAAGGGCATGTACATCGGTTGCGGGCACATCCCCAGAGGGGCTGTGCAAGAGGCAGCTGGTCGATGTTTCTCTCTCATAGACGTTTCTAGCTCTCTATCTCTCTCCCTTCCTCTCTGTAAAAAATCAATAAAAAATATATTTAAAAAACAAGAAAAAAAAAAAGAAATGACCTTGAGAGAAGTCTGCACTGGAAGTCCCCAAGATCCCCCTGCCTCCCTGGAAAATGACATTTTATTGGTTTCCATTTCCCGGTTGTGAGTTCATTCTCTAGGAAAAAGGTTAAAAAATAACGGGGGGTGAAATCCATTGTGAGCCGCTCAGACCTCCTTCCTGAACTCTCGGCCATGGCGAGGTGTTTCCCAGTGGACCTTTTATTTTGTGTGTTGGTCGCTTGGCAACTAGGCCCAGGGGAATGGGCCCAAGGTTAGTCATATTTTGTTGTTATTTTTCCTCTTGAAGGCCTTAAAGGCTAGACATTCAAGTCTCCCCTCCCACCTCCATTGTTAGGCCCTGCACACTTACCTAGAAGAGTCCAGAAGGAACAGTGACTAAGGAAACGACAGGAGGGGGAGTTTTTACTGTCAAGTTCTAAAAAATACCCACCCAAACCTGTTTTACACGTTCACCTACATAAAAACACTTTAAAAACAGGCTGACGTCACAAAGCAGATCACCGTCCACAGGAACCAGGCCCGGCTGGTGACCTTTCCTCCCCGCTGGTCCCCAGTGGTATTCGCCTGTAGAATCACACATCCTCTCTGGGCTATTATTATTATTATTATTATTGTCTTATCTGGGCCATTAGACAGGCGTTCTTCCCCCTGGACACACACAGGATACACACAGGGTGTCCTTTTAAAACCTCAGGCTTCCACGGGTTCGAGTCTTGAGGTCAATGGGATACCAACCCAGAGGGGGCCTTTGTCTAGAGACTCCAGGACCACTGTACCCGCTCCGCCGACCAAACCGGAAGGGGAAAGAACCTTCTAGAACCATCCAGAAAGTTCTAGGCCTGTCCAGCTTTCAGGGCCAGCTCCGGGTGTGTGTGTGTGTGTGTGTGTGTGTGTGTGTGTGTGTATGTGTGTTTGTAGTCTTTTAAAAAGAATTTATTGGGGGCAAATCGGTTTTTTGTTTTTTGTTTTTAAGTATCTTCATGCCCACCTCTCTCTCCAAAACCCAGTACAGACGCACCGCGGCCGGGTCTCCCACGCAAACCTTGTTTTTCGCCCATTTTCCTGGGGAACCCGCCCCCCGCGTGTCCTGAGCGGCCCGGCCCGCGGGCTTTTGCCGAGTCATCCGCGCTGTCCCGCTGCCCGCCCGGGGGATGGGCCCGCCGGCGCCGGGGGTGGGGACCCCGAACCCCTCGCGACGCGCCGGGGGGGGCGGGGGGGGGCCAGGGTGGAGAGAACGTTAGGGAAACACACACAATACCACGATCTTCAATGTGACCCCAAAATAAAGACCCCTCCTGTGGGCGGGGGGAGGGGAGCGGCACCCCGACTCCGCACGAGGCGCTGGGCGGGACCCGGCCGCCAAGGGCGCGTCCCGAGAACCGCGGGGGCGGCGGGGCTGAGGGAAGGGGCGTCGGGGTCGGGAAGCGGGATTGCGGGGCGGGGGACGCGGGGCTCCCCCACCCGCTCCGAGCGCCCGCCGACTCCGGGCCGGGTTTTCGCTTCCGCCGCGGGCGCCCCCCTCCTTCCCCGCCCGTCAGGCGCCGGCCGCGTCGTCCCGGACGCAGCGCGCAGCGAACGCGCTGACCCCTCCGCCCGGCCCTCAGGAGAGCCGCCCCCCCTCCCCGCCCGGTTCCGCCCAGAGTCCCGGCCTTCGCCAGAGAACCTTCTGGAAGGGGAGTTAGAGGACACGGGGCGCTCGTTCCCCCCGCGGCTGGCGGAGGGGCGGGGAAAAGTAGTCCCTCGCCTCATTTCCGCGGAGGGATCCGCGGCGCGGCGCCGGCGCGGCTATATAAGGCGGCGCCGGGCTTGGCGCTCGCAGTTCGCGGTCGCTCTCAGCGCGGTTACTGTTCCTCGTCGCCCACAGCTTCCCTCGTCGCTCTCGGTGAGTGTCCTCGGCCGCGGCCGGGGCCGGGGGGCTGGGGGGCGGTGCTCGGGGCCGTCCCGCTCCGAGGGGAACGGCGGGGGCGGCCGGCGGAGTGTTCGTCGCGGACTGAGGCGGCTGAGGGGACCTTCGTCGTGCTGGTTCCCGTCGTGAGGAGACCCTGAGGGGACAGGGCCGCCGCGAAATGGCGGCCTGTGAGGCGGCGGCGGCGCCGGCGGGCGGGCTGAGGGGAATGTGGGGGGGCGGGGCGGGGAGAGCGCGGCGTTGGGTTTGGGTTTGGCCGGAGGGGCTGGGCGGCGCGGGTGGCCCACCATGGAGGCCCGGTGGCGGCCTAACCGGCCGGAAGTCGCCGCGGCGTCAGGGCGCCGTGAGGGGGCCGCTCGGAACCGACCCGCACCCACGGCGGCGCCGCGCCCGCGTGACGTCACCCGCTGTGGGCGCACAATGCCGGGCGGGGCCGCCCGCCGGCGGGCGTTAGGGTTCCTCTCTCGGGCGGCGGGACGCGGGGCTTGGGCCCGGGCTGAGCTGAGGAGGCGGACGTGCAGGGACGGGGAGTGCGGAGCCCGGAATTGTGCTGGGGCCCAGTTCCCCTGCTTCTCCCGTGTAAGTGCCTGGACTGGGCTTCCGACTCTGCCAAGGAGATTCCGTTTCACTTTGAGGTCTGGTAGGCAGGTTTCATTTTTTACCTCCTAAATTTTCCAGGGAGGCGCTGGTTAGTAATACTGGGCAGGTTTTAAGTGTCCGTGTTTATGGTACCTGATCTGTGTTGGGTTAGGCGAGTAGTTTTTTTTGTTATTTTTCTTGTGTGTGAGTGTGTGTTTGGTTCCTTGCCTTAGGCAAGTGTTTAGCTTAGTCATTGGGGCCAATAAAAACTTGACACGTCGCCCTGACCGGTTTGGCTCACTGGGTAGAGAGTCGGCCTGTGGACTGAAAGGTCCCAGGTCCCAACCGGTCAAGGGCATGTACCTTGGTTTCCGGCACATCCCCAGTAGGGGGCGTGCAGGAGGCAGCTGATGGATGTTTCTGATAAATGCTTCTCTTCTCTGTAAGAAATCAATTCTATATATATATATATATATATATATATGTTTTTTTAAATAACATTTCTAGCTTTAAGAATGTGTTCACTGGTGAATTGCCTACTAAACCCTTGGTTCTTTTTTGTTTTTTTCTCTCTCTTTGTTCTAACAGACAATGCAGATCTTCGTCAAGACCCTAACTGGCAAGACCATCACCCTCGAGGTCGAGCCCAGTGACACCATCGAGAATGTCAAGGCCAAGATCCAAGACAAAGAGGGCATCCCCCCTGACCAGCAGCGGCTGATCTTTGCCGGCAAGCAGCTGGAAGATGGGCGCACCCTGTCCGACTACAACATCCAGAAAGAGTCCACTCTGCACCTGGTCCTGCGCCTCAGAGGTGGGATGCAGATCTTCGTCAAGACCCTGACTGGCAAGACCATCACCCTCGAGGTCGAGCCCAGTGACACCATCGAGAATGTCAAGGCCAAGATCCAAGACAAAGAGGGCATCCCCCCAGACCAGCAGCGGCTGATCTTTGCCGGCAAGCAGCTGGAAGATGGGCGCACCCTGTCCGACTACAACATCCAGAAAGAGTCCACTCTGCACCTGGTCCTGCGCCTCAGAGGTGGGATGCAGATCTTCGTCAAGACCCTGACTGGCAAGACCATCACCCTCGAGGTCGAGCCCAGTGACACCATCGAGAATGTCAAGGCCAAGATCCAAGACAAAGAGGGCATCCCCCCTGACCAGCAGCGGCTGATCTTTGCCGGCAAGCAGCTGGAAGATGGGCGCACCCTGTCCGACTACAACATCCAGAAAGAGTCCACTCTGCACCTGGTCCTGCGCCTCAGAGGTGGGATGCAGATCTTCGTCAAGACCCTGACTGGCAAGACCATCACCCTCGAGGTCGAGCCCAGTGACACCATCGAGAATGTCAAGGCCAAGATCCAAGACAAAGAGGGCATCCCCCCAGACCAGCAGCGGCTGATCTTTGCCGGCAAGCAGCTGGAAGATGGGCGCACCCTGTCCGACTACAACATCCAGAAAGAGTCCACTCTGCACCTGGTCCTGCGCCTCAGAGGTGGGATGCAGATTTTCGTCAAGACCCTGACTGGCAAGACCATCACCCTCGAGGTCGAGCCCAGTGACACCATCGAGAATGTCAAGGCCAAGATCCAAGACAAAGAGGGCATCCCCCCAGACCAGCAGCGGCTGATCTTTGCCGGCAAGCAGCTGGAAGATGGGCGCACCCTGTCCGACTACAACATCCAGAAAGAGTCCACTCTGCACCTGGTCCTGCGCCTCAGAGGAGGTGTCTAAGCTATCCCGTTTAAGCTTTCAACCAATTTAAATTGCACTTTTCTTTCAATAAAGTTGTTGCATTCCCAAGTGGTGTGATTTTTTTTTTTTCTTCATCAGTGCTAAGTAAGATTTTTATTTAGGTGGAGTGTGAGGAGGGGTCAATGTTTTTAGGCCAATATGATTTTATGGTAAGGAGGTAATGTTATAATGTGGCCTAATATAGTTGTGAGTGAGAAAAGTTGGCAAATTGGAGGTTTGCAATTAGAACTTTCCGTATGTCCACATAAATGTAGATATATTAGTAAACTACTGACTTTAAAATTCTGAGTTTGGGCATAGTGTTATGAACCTGAGAATGAAGAAAGTTTCAGGAATACCAGAAAGATTAAAAAAAAAAAAAAAAAAAAGGGATGTGGGGGGGTGGGAGTGGTTGAAGGGAACATAAAGTAGAAATCAACTTCAAAATACATCTATTTAAAATCTAAAGTTGCATAGAAAGTTCTTTGACCAGATCTATTTTTTAAAATTAAGGTATCACATATTTGGCCTTAACCCTCCATTCCGAAGCCCCCACCCTCCTATTGTCCTTGACCACTGCTTGGGCTATTGACCAGATTTTTATTTTTTTTATGTTTTTTTAATATATATTTTTTGCCCCCCTCCGTCCTTCCCTCCCACACATCCCCTCCCTCCCCATAGTTTTGTGTCCATTGGTTGTACTTAAAAGCATGTATAAAAGTCCTTCGGTTGATCTCTTATCTCCCCCATTGACCAGATTTTTAAAGAAAGGTAATATGCATTATGCTAGTGATTAGAGAACTAAAACTGGTTGAAATACAATCGCTAAAGATTCAATATTTCTCAATTTCATCTAACAGCAGATGCAAAGTTTATAACTTGAAGCAATTTTCCCTTGATCCCCAGAAGTCCGGTCTCCACTAGTCCTCACGGAGAGAGATGTGTTCTCACTTGCTAATAGAATACCTGATGTCAACAGGTTTAAGTCCTAGATTTGGGAATTATAATTAGGAAAGGGCCTTTTAGAAAGTACAGAAATTGTAGGCAAATCCATTCTGGTACGTAATGCACATACCAATGAATTTCTATGACTCCCTGCAAGTCTCAAGAGCAATGTCACAACCTCCGGAGCCCCACCAGCACCTGTAACCACTTCTGGTCATGTTGGGAGCTGTGTAATTTTGAAGTTCATTACAGAATGAATGGCCTTAGCTGGTTTGGCTCAGTGGATAGAGCCTTGACCTGCAGACAAGGATCCTGGGTTCGATTACAGTTCCAGTTTGCAGGCTCAATCTCCAGTAGGAGGCAGCAGATTGATGGTTCTCATCAATGATGTTTCTACTCCCTCTGAAATAAAATATATGTATATACATCTGAAATAAACGGTCATGACAGGAAATAAAAACCAGTTGCTTGGAAATGACCACTGCAGGACACACACTGCAAAGTTCTTAAGTGTTGAGTACATTTTGAAAGTCCAGGTACAAGTGGGTGGGTGGCTAGTAACAGTTGAAAAGGGACTGGTCATCTCGTGGTGGCCTGATGCCCCTTAGGATAAATGGGGACCCTGCCTGCTCCCCAGAGCGGGGAGGGTCTTGCCATCAGAGCATTAGCCCCAGAGCTGGGTTTCAGGGTCGGAGCGTTCAAACACCGGGCTCCTTGAAGTACAGCTTCCGGCCAAGTGTGACGGGAATCACAAATCCCAATAGGAAGACCAATGCACACACATTAACAACCAGATGTAGAAAGCTGAATTACAAGCTTATTCCCAGGAAAGAACAGGAATATATTTCTCTTGTTATATATAATATGTACATTTGTGTGTGTTAAAATTCAAAGATAACCTGTCTAAATTTGTAAGGTAGCCATTTTTACTCAGTGATAACTAACTAAAGTTGCCCTTTTTTGGACTTTTCCCCCTGTGTAGTATATATTACATAATACACACACACACACACACAGGATCATAACAGTTTTCAGCTTTTTTCAAAATAGCCCATGAAAGAATATATTCTCTTCATGTTGTTTCAACTACAAGTCAGAAAATACAAATTTCCTTAACCATAAAAACTTGCTTTGCACATTATTTACATGTCCCCAAATTCTACAGCATGTTAAATGCCACAGGGTTTGACTACATGGCACCATCGGCGTTTCTTTAATTAACTCTGGACATTATTTTCCACGCCAGTATATCTAGATCTGCCTCCTCCTCGTACATACTCTTTTTTAAAAAGACATTTTACTGATTTTTTACAGAGAAAGGGAGAGGGATAGAGAGAAACATCGATGAGATCGATTAGCTGCCTCCTGCACACCCCCTACTGGGGATGTGCCTGCAACCAAGGTCCATGCCCTTGACCGGAATTGAACCTGGGACCCTTCAGTCGGCAGGCCGATGCTCTATCCACTGAGCCACACCGGTTAGGTCAGTAGTGTCTCTTTTTATGTTTTGTCTGAAAGTTACACATACGGCTTTCCTGTAGGTATGTTGTTTACAGGCTGACAAAGTCTTATTCTTATTCTTCTTCTTATTATTATTCAAAGGTCGTTCTAGTCTGCAGAGTTCACTTCTGCCAGGAGGGGGAGCAACTGGGAGCAACAGACTGGTTTAGCCAGGAAGCTGCCAGCGCCCCCAAGCGGTTGTAATTGATCAAGTAAGTTGTTCCTCTATATCTTACCTTAAACTTCCTCTCTTAAAAATTTATTATTATTTTGTTTGTTAATCTTCATCCAAGGATATTTTTCACTGATTTTTAGAGAGCGGAAGGGAGGAGGAGAGACGGAAACAACATCGATGTGAGAGAGACATCCATTGGTTGTCTCCGGGCCGGGGATGGAAGCATGTGCACTTGACTGGGATCAAACCCCGGACCTTTTGGTCCATAGGCCGAAGCTCTATCCACTGAGCCACACCGGCCAGTCACACGAAGCCGTCGATGCCGCAGAGCCGGTTAAAATGGGAAAAACTGCGCCCGGTGACAAGGCATGGGAAGGTGTCTACGAGTTCAGGTGGAGACACTGAGACTGTCAGAGTCTCCCCCGGGGCAGGGTGTTTAAGTGTTGCCTAGGAGATGAGTCATCCAGCCGTCACCCCGTTTCTGCAGGCTCAGGGGCTGACAGTGCACGGGGGTGCGGGTGGGGCAGAGAGGACTCTGGGTAATAGTTACACAATCCAAGTGCAGACTCCATGGCTCCCAACCCTCATCCTCTGCTGACTACACGGGCGCCGCCGGCCACCAGTGCCCTCCAGGCGGCACCAGCCACAAGGGGGCGTGAGGAGGTGGCCGTGTGGAGCCACAGGCCACACGTGCTTGAGGCCACGGATAGGAAATGACCAGAAGCATCGTCTGTGAGGAGACAGAAAGCAGACGGGGCTGCCAGGGCCAGGGCGCCGGGTGCGGGGTCGTGTTTTGGGGACAGAGAGGCTGGGGAGCTAGAGGTGGAGGTTGCACGTGGTGAGTGTAGAGGCTTGTTCGGTCTAAAAGGGTCAAGTGTGTGCCCGGCCGGTGTGGCTCCGGGGCTGAGCGTCCACCTAGGACCCAGGAGGCCATGGTTCTGTTCGGGGTGGAGCCCGAAGCCCGGGCATGTGCCTTGGCTGGGGATCGAACCCTGATCTGGTTCATAGGTTGACGCTCAACCACTGAGCCACACCAGCTGGGTTGAGTTTGCTTTTTTTTTTTTTTTTTTTTACAAAAAGCGGTTAAAAGCACATAAGATCAAACACACCCTCCGATGGGTGTGCGCCCCATCTCCCGCATCCTGCAGAAGGAGAACCGCAGCTCACCCACCGGCAGCTCGGGTGTCGGAGGGCCGGCCCCGCCGGGAAAGGCGTTTTGCTAAAACCGAAGCGTCGGCTCTGAGCGGGTGTGGGCTGCTGGCTCCGTGCGGGGATGTCAGAGGTCATGGCCGTTTCGCTTCCGTGAGAATCCGCTTCCTCCTGTAGCGCTGGGCTGGGTCGGACGTAATTTCACTTCTTCGTTGTCAGAAGTTACAGAGAGCGCGTGAGAGAATCAACTGATCAACGCACGGATGAGCGGAATAACAAATCGATGCTCCTCTCTCAACCACCCATCAGGAAACCAAACCATGCGGGGTTCGTGGGTCTCCACCCAAACCTTCGAACGTGGCTGTCAAGACAGGTGTTACTCATAACGGAAGCAAAGGCCCTGTGTGCACTGGCGGCCCCGAGGATAAGGTGTCAGCAGCGAGCCTCCCGGGAGATGCGGAGAAAAGCAACGTAAAAAGTGTGAGCGTTCCTGCTCCACACGAGACGGAGGCTGGGGTGAGCGGACAGACAGTCTCTGTTCTCAGAGAGGAGGAATCGTCTTGAAAAGACGTCAGGGTTCCCTGAAGTTAGAACTCAACGCGACACCAACTAAATAACCAGCAGAGGATGTGGGGGAATTTGAGAAAAACACTGCTGACGTACATTAAAAATAAATAAATAAATAAATAAATAAAATAAACATTTCCAGGAAAATGCTGAAAGTGAAGAACAGTGAGGGAAGACTAGCTTTTCCAAATATATGTTTTTAAACTAGGTTTTTATTGGCGAGAGAGAGAGAGAAAAGGTCAATTGGACCAGCGACCTCTCAGTGCCCAGGACAAATGGGCCCACCAGCCCGGGCTCCACACACTGTGGTGACAAGAAGGTGCAGCATAAGGTGGATTCTTTTTTTATTATTATTATTATTTTTTTTATACCAAATGTATTGATTTTTTTTACAGAGAGGAAGGGAGAGAGAGTTAGAAACATCGATCAGCTGCCTCCTGCCTGCCCCCTACTGGGGATGTGCCCGCAACCAAGGTCCATGCCCTTGACCGGAATCAAACCTGGGACCCTTCCGTCCGCAGGCCGACGCTCTACCCACTGAGCCACACCAGCCAGGGCCTCCCTGGATTCCTATCCCACAGCTGAAGACAGCATCGGCCCCAAGCAGAGCAGAGGTCGAACAGTACACACACCCGGGGAGCCGGGAGCGGGAGAGCCTGCTGCCCCGGGCGGCGTTGCCCAATGTGACACAACCCCCTGCGTCAGAGGGCGGGCGGGCCGGTCACGAGGAACG